ATAAAGATGGACTCAGGAAGACCTTCAAGAATTGATGTGGTGCTATCTTATAATAAGTGGCACCACCGAAATTCGAGTATTTGTCCCTAAGGAATCGGGTAGAAACCTCAGATAAATACTTAAAAATCCCGACAAGTAGCCTTGTCGTGTTTAATGGTGATAATAATAATAATAATAATAATAATAATAATAATAATAATAATAATAATAATAAATTTAAATACTGATGATAATTTGATAAAGTAAAAAGTTCTCGAATAATTTACGTCGTCTTGAGTCGTTTATTTTTTGTTTTTTGCGGGAGAAAAAAAAAAAAACTACTTTAAAAACAGAACGGTTGGCAGAGTCGTGAAAAAAAAATCAACGTATTTAATAATACAAACACAAAAACAAACAAAACAAACATTACGTGTATATCTATATAATCGTTATTCTATTCTCGCGATTTTTTTTTGTTGTTGTTTTGTTTTGTTCTTCTTTGATAAGGAAAAAAAAAATGATGACTGGAATAAAAACGTCGTTGATAACAATAAAAAAAAAATTATTACGCGTTAAAAATTACTCCGATTATAAATTATTATTATTATAATTATTATTATTATATGGGTAAGTATAAAAAAAAATTGTTTTTCTTCTTTTAAATTGTTTATACGTCTCCCCCTTTCTCCTTTTCTTTCCCTCTATGTTTTGTTTTCGTTTGTTTGTTTGTTTTTATTATAATATTTATAATTTATATTATTATTAAAATTTGTTTCAATCATTCGAGTAATTTTTTTTTAATTTTTTTTTTTTTTTTTCTACAATGAGGTCGTAATCCGGAAGAAGAATTTAAAAAAATTAAAAAAAATAATAATTCAGATTTAATAATAAATAATAATAATAATAATAATAATAATATCAGACCGAAATCAGAAAAATATTATTCGTCATATAGAAAAATTCAAACTCCTCCGATCGATGTTATAAAAAAAAATTTAGATGATTTTATATTTAGCTTATCGAATTTTGAAATTAAACAAAAATTGGGTAAGAAATTAAATGTTAAATAATTCGTTTGGATTTTAATCATCATTATCATTATTATCATCATCATGTGTATTAATTAATTTTATTATTACAGACAGTTGCCCTGGTAATTTAGGAGAATGTCCGTTATTAAACGATTTTCGAGAAGGTTTAAAAAAAAGTTTATCAAATCATGTAACCGTTTCTGTGAAAAATGATGATAACGACATCGATAATAGATTTATTAATAATAATAATAAAAAAATTAAAAATAATAACGAAGAAGAATTGAAAAAAATTAATATTAATAACAATAGCAATAACAATAACAATAATAATAATAATATTATTATAATAAAAAATGTTAAAATGCCATCGACGGTTAAATGTGGTGCCGTTGATAAAAAAAAAGAAATAAAAACAAATTTGACGACGAAAAATAATGGCGCCGCGAAAAGTGTCATTAGATCGACTAGAGCTCAAGATTTAAGATCACAAAGCAATCGTGATTTATTATTAAAACCAAAGACGACAATTGAAAAAACTCGAAATTCACAATCGCCATACGTATCATCGAATTTATATATGAAAAAGAAAAAAAATTCTGGAAACAATACTGGAAAACAATCGGAATTCAGTAGCAGTAATAATAATAATAAAACGATAACGAACAACAAATCGAACGTTGTTGTTAAAAATGTCGTCGCCGCCGTCGTTTCGGAACAAGAAAAAAAAAAAAAAAAAGTGACGACGTCGACGACGATGGCCGCAAATGAGAAAAACGTTAAAACCGCACCACCACCACCACCGCCGCCGCACAAGGGAAAATTAAAAAAAGGAAAACCTTTAACGGCTGGTGAAAAATTAAGTTTGCAAAGGCAAAAAACCCAAGAAATAATTAATCCGAAATTCGTTAAGAAAATCAACGATGATAATAATGATAATAATAATTTAAAATCCATGTACGTGAGTCCGAACGGTGATAATGAATTTTTTCAATTGAAAAAAAGTCAAACTTTTTTCATTTGTAAAGGTGCTAAAAATTTCGGAGACGGTGATAATAATAATATTAATAATAATAATAATGGAGGTGGTGGTGGTGGTGGTGGGGATGGTGATGATGATGATAATTTAAAAGAGAATAATAAAATCGATAGAGTTAACATCATGTCCGAAGAAGATGAGAATGATGATGATGATGATGATGATGGTGGAATATCACCAAAATTAAATCCTTTGACTCATAACGATTCGTTTTGTTTAATTGTTAAATCGAGTCAAAATTGGTCACAGAAAAATAGATCGGATGATGAAAAATGGCGTCAATACGATTTATCATCATCTCACGACGATGATGACGATAACGATGATGATGTTGTAAATGATGATAAATTATTATATAAAAAAACAAAGGATAAGGGAATATTGAAAAATTCAAATCACAATTTAAAATCCGTTGATTCCCTTGAAAAAATCGATTCGGAAAAAATTGTGAGATTTTCCGATGAAATCCTTGTACGTAATAAAAAAATTTTTAAAAAATTAGTTAGGAGAAAAAAAAGAAATCAAAATTTTTTCACTCCCATATGGTTTAATAAACAAAAATTATTTCAAAAATATTATCAATATTTATTAAAAGAAAAATCTATATTTATTTCTCATCGGAGTGATTTCATACCTGACGATTTAAAACCTTTTCAGATACCTGTTTCGATTAAGGAAAAATACGAAACGGACGTTTTTGGATTATCCAAAAGAACAAACAACAGACACCCCCCAAATAATAAAAATTATACAAACAATCCTTGCAGTTATTGAAATTTATATCATCATCATCATCATCATCATTCTCAATTTCGGCTCACTTTTTTTCCTTTTTCCTTTTTCCTTTTTTCTTTTTTTTGTAAAAGTAGTTTTGCCAACGTTTGAAAAAAAAAAATAATAATAATAATGAATACATATATGTATGTTTTTTTAAAAAAAAAATCCCTTTTCCTGCGAATAATAAATTATGCAATTTGTTCTACAGATGAGTAAATTTTTTGCAGAACGAAAATTAAAAAAATAAAAAAATTTTTTTACAAATCGGGGAGCACTAAGACCGAAGAAAAACCGTATAAAAAAACGAGAAAAAAAAGAGAGAGAGAAAGAAAATGATAAAGTAAAAGAGAGAAAGAGAAAGGAAGAATAAAGTGGGGAGGGGGGAGAGGGAGAGGAGAGGGGGGGGAAGGAAAATTACATTTAGTTTTATTTAAAAGCGTAGAAATACGTAGAAATAATAAAAATAATTTTTTTTTTTGGGGGGGTCTTTGTTGTTGTTGTTGTTACTCCTGCCGCCATTTTAATATAAATTAAAACTACAAAGGGATTTAGTCCTTTTTTTTTTTTTGTTAAAAAGAGAATTTTAAAGAAAATATTTTTGCACATAAGAAAATTTAATTACTCGTACGTAGCCTCGAGTATTACATTTCCCTGTATTACACCGGGGGAGAGAGATTTTAAACACAAAGATGCCGAATAATAATAATAATAATTTTAAAAAAAATTCATTTTCATTTTTTTTTTTTTCATATGAAAATGAATTTTTATTTAAAGTCATTAAATATTTAAAAATCAAACGTTTAAAAAATTCTACGAAATATACATAAAACATAAAATTTATTTTTAATTTAAGTAACAAAAAAAAAATTAACAATTTATTACCACTTTCCGTACGTATTCTTTTTTTTTAATTGATTGTTTTTATAAAAAAATTATTATTATTAATATTTTTTTGTTTTTAAAGATATTAAAATTTTTTTTAATCATAACTTTTTCTTATTCTTTAAGAAAGAACGACCATTCTTCACTTTAATGCTTTTTTGTTAGTGAGTGAAAAAAAAAAAAATTAATTAACCGTTCCTTTGATTACGTGACTTTAGTTTAATTAATTTTTTTTTATATATATAAGGAAAAAAGTAATAAAAAATAATAATAATAATAATAATAATAATTGAAAACTTTTCCCTTTCCCTTTTTTACCCCCTTCCCGTATTTTTTTTTTTTTTTTTTTTTTTTATTATAACGCGAAAAAAATATTTTTTTAAATAAATCGATAAATGATTTTATTTATTATTATTATTATTATTTTCGACTTTTTGTTTAAATAATTTATTAATTAAACATTTTCAATTTTACGTAAAATTAATTTAATAAAATTAAAAATACACACACGCGATATCACAAAAAATAAAATAAAATGAAAATGAAAAGGTTAAAGTTTTTTGTTATAAATACAATTTCATCCATCTATCTATCCATTCATCGACATTTTTCTCTGATAATAATGATAACATTTTTTAATGTTTTCCTTTGTTAAGATTTTACACAAAAATTTGGCGGGGATATAATATAACTTTCACCCCGTAGTATATCGCATTTTAATTCTTTAATTGCTTCTTTTAAATATGGTTTCTCATAAAGTTCTTCGACTCTCACGAGACCCAAATTATTTTTTATACCATTCGGACCGAGTTCTATGGGTCCGGCAAAATAACTCACACCTGATAACCCGTAAAAGTCCATTATTATAATCATCGATAATAAATGACAAATATTTTAATTTATGATTACCTGGTACCGCGTTCGAATAAACGTATGCTAAATCTATGACGTCTTTTTCATTTCTTAACCCCCTGATCAAATTATGTGTAAACCTTGTTGCTCCCAATGCAACTGATAATCTGGGTCCGCCTTTTTCTTTTAATGTTGTTACAAGACAAGATGAATGTCGGATTTTATCAATTAAATACTCGTAAAGTGACTGCAGACAAACATTTTAAAAAAAAAAAAAAAAAGAAAAATTATTCGCCGAAAAAAAAGAGAAAATAAAATAAAATAATTTTTTTTTTTTTTTTGTGATCACGAAAACGCCATTTTTTTATCAACAAAAGATATTTTTTTTTTTTTTTGCTATTGATAAAATGTTAACCTATTATTATCATCATCATCATCATTATTTTAGGTACTTTTCTCCGGTTATTCGATGCTTAACAACCGATTTATTAAAAATTAAAAAAAAAAAAAAAATTTTTGTTTATTTCATTTTCTCGTTTGTTAATAATAAAAAAGGTAAACATACTTTTGGAATTTGCACGCAGGGAGATGTTTGCGATAAAACAGGTACGATCGATTTAGAACTGTGTCCACCGATAACAGGTACGAGAAATTCACCTGGATCTACTGTACCACCTAATATGTCATTAGAAACAATCGTACTTGCTCTCATAGCGTCTATCGTTGTTATTCCAAATATTTTTCTCGAATCGTATTTATTTGCCAATCTGATAGGAAAGAGAGAGAGAGAGAGAAAGAGAAAGAGAGAGAGAAGATGTAAAAAAAAAAAAAAAAAAAGGAAAATTTAAAAAAAAAAAAAAATATTTATTACACTTACTTGAGTTGACGTGACACCATTGGAACAAAACTATTGATTGGATTTGTCAATATACCAATCAATGCTTTTGGATTAACTGATATAATTGCATCGGCTAAATGTTTAACAACGGGAGCATTATATTCAAATAAATCATTGTGTGTCATACCTGGGGCTCTTCCAACACCCGCACAAATTAGTATTATATGTGAATCCTAAAAAAAAAAAAAAAAAAAAAATTAAAATTTTTCATAATAAATGTAGGCATATGTAGGCAACCATGTCAAAAATTTTATAATGGCACGTGTTAAATGTTTGTTTGTTTATATTGTTTTTTTTTGTTTTACAATTTTATAAAATTAAATGTATACAAAATATTTTATGTGTTATTAGGTTTCGTTAAAGTAAAACAACAACAACAAACAAACAATGTATACTAAAAACTTACACGCAAAGCTTCATTTAAATTTTCACAACCCCAATATGATTGTACACGACAACTTGTATCTATGTGTGACAAATCCATGGCCATACCGTAGGTTTTGTCAATGTCGTAAAGGGTTAACACGTTCACGAGTGGAGATTGTTTAAGTAAAAAAGCAATTATTTGTCCGAGTTGTCCATTTGCACCACATAAAGTGATTTTAATTTTCGATGGACATTGATGAACGGTTTTTATCTTATTCGGATCCGGGCAAGGACAACCAATTGAATATTTTCTTTTGATTTTTCGTAAAATGACATTTATTTGTTTTGTATAACAACTTGTCAAATTTTGAGTTCCTATTTGACGAAACATTTTTCCAAAAATTTATTTTTCCTACATATTTCAAATTGCTAACTCATTTTTAAAGTTTACAATACGTTATATGAAACACATCTAAGAAGGCGGTGTGTGACAATTTAAAATTTTTTTAACAAAAAATTTTCCGTTAAATCCTAATAACTGATTCTCATTCTCAAATTACAAAATATTTTCATGCTGTTGCTGCTGTTGTTGTAAATTTACCGTGATAACCCATTAAATTTTCTTTTTTTTGTTGCTGTTGTCTTTAAAAAGTTGACAAAAAAAAAAAAATTTATCTTAAAATTAATAAAATTCTGACATTTTTTAAAAATTTATTTTAATTTTTTTATATGCGATCCCGACATTTTTTTTTTATCTATATTTTTTATATATAATCATTTATTATTTTAAAAAAATTACGAAATTTAAATATTTTAAAAGTGATAAATTAATTTAAATAAATTAATTTAAATAAAAATTATTTAATAAAAATCCACAGCTTACCTTAACTTGTAAATATTTCAATGTTGTAGAATCTGAAATTGATTTGTTTTGTTTTCTGCTCTCAACTGTAAACCGGCTGGGACAAAAACAACCTAAAAAAAAAATTCCGCACTTTTTTTTTTTTTTTTTTTAAATTATAATTTATTTTTATTAATTTTATTATATTAAAAATGATTTGTGATTATTTAAAGTATTTTTATATTTAATAATAATTTCAATATCCGTTTGAAAATTTATTTATGTGCCAAGTAAGAAAATCATTTTTTCAATTGACACTTTGTACTTGTTATATTATCACCTCAATAAATTTATCAAATGAATTAAATTTTACTTTTTTTTTTTTAAATTATAATTATTTATCAATTCAATTATGTATTTCATTCACAAAAATTATTTTTTTTTTTTTTAATTCAAAGCCAATTGTGTTCGACAATGTTTTGATACAGATTTTTTAAATTGTCTAAAGAAATGAAAATTAACAAGTCAATCAGGGAAAATTCTGATATGACAAGTTTTAAAAAATTTTATGAATATTATTCTACTATCGAATGCAAAAATGATTTTTTTATTACTTGTTTCGAACTGAATAATGTGAGTAAAATGATGCACACATTTGTGTGTGTCTCTCGATTAATCTCTAAAATTAACAATTTATACTTAACATTCTTATTTTTTAGGAAAATTACAAGTGGAATTGTTTGGATTGTGGTTTGATGTTAACATCAGAATCACAAGCTAGAGAACATTTTTTAGGAAAAAAACATCAAAATGTATTAAAAAATAAAACATTTTACAATTCTTTTATTGATATAACTAAAACTAGTCCGATTAATTGTTTAAAAACATTGTGAGTTTCATTGTGCCTTATCGATAAATTTTGTTTACTAAATATTAGTATTATTGTTGACAAAATCATTTTCCAGTTCCAATTCCAGTGATAATATTTTGTCAGAAAGTAGTAGAATACAAAGTTTGAGAAAAAATTATTTTAATGTTCATACTCATGGGAAAAATAATTTTCAAAACATTGTTCCTCCTCCCGGTGAGTACGAATGCACAGTTTATAAATCGAAGAAATTATTCGAGAATGAAATAATATAAAAAATAAATTATTAATCGATAAAGTTTTGCAATATTTAATTGCAATCATGGCATTTCATGTTAAATATACATAAATAAAATTTTATTTTAGCTGGAAGAGATAACATATTGGAAACGGTTATAAAAAATGATAGGAAAAAATTTTCACCTACTGATCTTTCCATTTATAGAACTCCTTCTGGTAAATATTATTGTCAATCATGTGACCTCACAGTTAATTCACCTGTTCAATTTTTACAACATTCTCAAAGTAGAAAACATAAACATAAACATAAACATAAACATAAACTAGTCGAATGTGTAAATTAAAATAAAATAATTTTTTTTTTTTTCTTTTTTATATAAATCGTTTAAAGCCAAAAATAAAAAAAAAATAAAAGCATAAAAATTTATCATGCTTTGATTTTTTAATTATTATCTTATTAAAGTATTAAAGTAATAAATCAGTATTATTATTATTATTATTATTATTATTATTACTATTTTTTAATTAATGTATTAAATTATTATTAAAAATGAAGTCTGCTTTTAAATTGTTTAAACAAAAAATTTAATTATATAAAAACTTGTATCATGTACCTGTAATAATAAAATGTTAAATATTTAAATATTGTTACCATGTTTTTTTTTTTTTTTTTTACTTTATTATTGTTTTTTAAATTGTTATAATAATAATAATAATAATAATTTAATTTAAACATATGTTTTTATATCTAGTGTCAATTATTTATTTATTTTTCATTAACTTATTTTTAATAAATTCGTATTTGTATTAAATTTATATATTTATTAAAAAATAATAAAAATCAATATAAAACCTATGACTAATTTTGTTTTATTTTTTCAATAAATAAATAATAAATAAGTTATAATAACATATAGATATATATATTTAAATAATAAATAAATAAATAAATAAAAATAAATAAATAAACTTATTTGTCGAGTGTAAAATTCAAGAAATTCTTGTTTTTCTCGGTGAAATCCTTCGCGATTCGTTATAAGTATTATTTAAATAAATAAATAAATAAATAAAATTAATCATTAAAGTGGAATAAAGCAAAAAGAATCCATTAAGTTAATACATTTTTTTGCAAAAATAATAATAATAATTACTATTATTATTATTATTATCATTATAAAAAACGTTAATTACGTACGAGGCACGAGAATAATGTAAAAACCGTTTTAGGCATGAGTTCGAGTTTATCTTAAATTAACTACATAAGTTAAACATGTAATCAACGAATTTTCTTTTTTTCCCCCTTGGAAAATTCTTTCCTTTGTTTTTTCCTTTAAAAAAAAAATTATACGAGAAAGTAAAAATGATTATTGTTATTATTATTATCATGTATTTATATATATGGAATACTCCGTTGTCCATTCGTCGTACCTGGGCGTGTTATAAGAAGAAGAAGGCCAGTGTTAAATGGAATCAGGACGATGAGTTAGTGTGTACTCGTTATTTCCTCTTCATTTAAATCTGACCTTCCAGATCTTTTAGATGAACTTTTTTTTTTATTTTTGTTTTTTAATTTTCTCTTGTTTTCATATTGTTGCAAAGAAGATGGTAATTTGACCGTCGAAGAATCAAATTCATAAATCCCATCATTTTTTTCCGATTGGATTTTTTTATCAAATTGATTTTGATGCACGACCTTAAATTGAGTTATGGGTCTTTGGGGGACGTTGAGAATCATGATGGGACTGTTCGATATATCGCTATTTTTAAAATTAAATATTTCTCTATCCGCAATTCTTATACGTTTTCTCGTTATCGGCATGTTTTTCAATTTAAACGTTTCTTTCGAATCCGTACCTAAAACGTGCCAAAGTTTCGAATCGGGATTCGGTGGGAGCGGCGACACCGTCGTCGTCCTGCTCAAATTCGGTAATTTAAATATTTTATCGGCAAAACTCGTCGTTGAATTTTTATTCTTATAAAATTTTCTCCTGTTGTTGTTATTTTGTTTCCTTTTTCCCGTTTTTAATTTAGGTACCGAGTTGTATTCTCTCCTACTACTTATCGATACATCCGGAGATTGTTCTGATACGTAGGTTTTATAATACGTACCTAATTCTTTAACGTTTGTTTGATTGTTGACTAGTTTTAATGGCAATCTCGGATGATTCTGATTGGTAAATCTATTTATAAAAGGCATGTAGTTGGCGAAGAACGTCGACATCGCGGATAACATATCGGGAATGTTAACTTCGAATGGTAAAAATGGTATGCTGTCAACAGCATCTTCGACGGATCCCCAAAAAATTTTCACATCGGTACCGTTACCCATTTGTTGAGTTTGCGAAACGTTGTAGTGTTTTTCAAGTTCCGTATCGTAAACTACGACAGTGTTTGGCATGGGGGGTCGAGGTGATAACGTGTTATCACCGGAAGTATTTAATAAATATTTAAACGTTTCCGGTGTCAACAATGGATTTTCATTATTGATTTTGTTATGTTGACCCTTATTGTGTAGGATGGATCTTGCAGATGTTGTTTCATTAACTTCAAATTTTTTTGGTTTATTATTATTATTATTATTATTTGATTTACTTATCATCGGTAGTGGATCTTCCGCATCGTCAAAAATATCCATGAGCATGTCGTTATTTCCAAAACCGATAAATTTTCCTTTTCTATAAAAAAAAAATTTCAAATTTAACAACAACGTGATTTTTTCTCTTCATATCTTCTCGTAAATCGCAATCGAAATGTGAAAACGAAAAAATCTTAAAATTTTATTTATTTATTTATAACAAAAAAAAAAATATCTAGAATATTCTATTTCATTTTTTGTAAGACCGTAAAAAATAATAATAATAATAAGATAAAAAAAAAAAAAAAAATGAGAAAATCCATTACAGAATTCTTTAGTTATCTTATCGTATTATTATGACATTTTATGTTTTATTATATTCACCCCCCAGAAAAGAGGCTCCCCTCAAAAAAAAAATTTTTTTCTACTAAATTACACGTAATTATACTAAAACAAATTGTTAATCTACAATTATTATTATTATTATTAGTACTACAAAAAAAATATAAAATGCTTACCTTATTTGATTTGAATTTGGTAGGATGACGATGCCCCCCATTATCGGTAGAAAAGTTAATAATAATAATAAATTCATCTGAAAATTAAAAAAACAAACGTAAACATTTGTAAACAATTTAAAAGTCATCATTTTTATGTTAAAAATAAAACCGAGAAAAAAAAAAGAACGGATTACTGTCGGCCATTTTTAAACGTTCGATTACAATATTTTTGCTATTTTAACGTATTCAAAAAAAAAAACAATTAAAAAAAAATTTTCCGAACGTTTTTCAACAACGAGAAAATCATTTAATTTATATAATAATGATAAGAAAACCCCGTTCCCCAAGAAAATATTAATAATAATAATAATAATAACGAACGGTTAACGTTCGTGATTTTATCTCTAAGAATACGTTATTATAAAATTTAATTAATCATTTTCTTTTCTTTTTTTTTTTTTTAATTAATGAAAAACTTTTTTTTTTACGCACGTTTTCGAAACTTAATAAATTTTCAGTAATAATAATAATAATAATAATAATAAAAACTTTTCAAATAAAAATTAAAAC